TCTCACTGGCCAGCGATTCTCAGCAATACTGAAGCATGACTTTCTGAAGGGGCCTGCACTGCACCTGCTGGACTCCATCATCCCCCCAGACTGGGAACAGACTTTCCCTCCTGGAGCACAGAGCCAAGAGGAACCAGCTGTCAAGCAGTCAGGGACAGCAGGTTCAGCACTGGTCACGAGAATCAATCTGACCTCTCTGATGAGTGGAATGGAAGGACCATTATCAGTCAGTATTACACAGCACTTATATTTCACTGGTGCTGTTAAAGAAGAGGGAATGTGTGTCTTAAATCACACACTCGGCACCAGGATTCCTGACATGGGATTTCAATGGCTGTGCTGTCAACACTAATTACTTCCACTTTCCAGCAGCAGAAGGGGTTGTTCAGCTGGGCACAGGAGACTGGGGGTTGAAGTACAAGACAGTGTATCCAGAGAGAAGGGGGACTTTCTGGACTGGGGGGTTAGAGACTCAGCTCTGTGTCCTGAGAGTGCCATCACTCAGGAGAACAGCTCTCCTCAAGGTGTTGGGCATCTATATATTTCTTCATCTCTGAACACTGCACTCAAGATCTCACACAGCACAGGGTGCCAACACTAACCAGCAAGCACAGGGACTAGAGTTAATGACATCTGAAGACTGTGGAGTGGAGATCAGGAGCTCTTTCAAATGGGCTGAAGAGTTTACCTCCCAATGGGTCTCGATCCACCAGTAACACATGTGAGAACTCAGTCTCGTGTCCCAGATCACCTGCTCTGCTCTCACCTGGATACTTATGTGAATAAGGGGCCATCATTGACACCAGCAGGATCCTCAGCACACTGACAGTGGCGCAGGTGACCGACTCCTGGAGAAAACCTTCAAAACACACACAGATCTCAGAACAGGGAAGAGCCCAAGACCACAGCGTGGATAAGGACCTAACAGACTCCCCCACCTTCAGTCTGGCCCCACAGGATAAAGGCTACAGACAAGAGGAGCCCAGGAGCGACACAGTTCACCAGACAGCAGTGCCACTGCCTGCTGGTCTCACCTGGGACAGGAGAAAGGAAGGATTTTAGAGAGTTAGTGGGAAAAAACTTGAAAGTATAATGTGAAAATGTATAATATCCTGTGGAATTAATTAATATATTAAGGGGTTCATGTCATCAGCCCACTGGATAAAGGAACATTCCACAGGATAAGGAATTCGGATGTCTGATGATATGCAGAAGATGTGCCTGGAGCTTGGTGTTCACCACACTGGTATGAATAAAGTTGTTTCAATCTGCAAAGTGCATGCTGGGACATGACGTCAGCTGTCTACTGGGAATAAGAGCAGGTTCCCTTTGTCTGTAGGTTTGTCCTGAACTCTGCTCATAGTCCTTATTACTGCAGATGTGTGCTGGGTATAAGACAATTTTACACTTTAAATGTCATTAAGATTGACGAATAAATACTGACAATTAAATTGAGCATCAAGCGCCTCTTTGGGAGCAGAGATCAGTGTCAGCACCAGAGGTGCAGTTACAACACGAGAACACTAGAGGGCACTGCAGCACTGCAGGTGACCCAGTACAGTTAAACCTCAACTGTGGCTGAGCAGGCGGCTGATTGAGGGTCTCAGGGCAACACAGTAGGAATCAGAGTCAAAGGTTTCTTTCAGTTCTGGTGAGGATTTTAAGCACAGGCAATGTAGGATGTTGCAGACTATTAGATGCAGCATGAAATGAGTTAAAAGCTGAGCTCACGTTTCTTGAGCAAGAACTGGCATGTTGGCACGCTGGTCAGGATCACGACTCCCAGTGCAGAAAGAGCCAGAAGCAGGATCCAGATGTGAGCTGTGGAAAACCCTGGGAAGAGCAGAGGAGAGCAGTCAGCAGGAGTG